GTTAAAGGAGGAAGGTTTATAGTAGTTCACTGTTCATAAAGGGTTTCAATCATAGTTATCAAGCTCCAATGAAGTACAGTATGGAAGAGGGGAAATGGTTTATGGTAGGCAGAAGGCAGAACGGAGCTAGGCAGCAAGCAGCTGAGTATTGAAGCAGAAAGCAATAAGGGAGCCCTCTTTCTGTCCCTTGTATTTTTTCCAAGTCACCTGCCCTAGCAGGTATCACTCAAAACTCCAGTGTGACACACTTAATCCTAGCATCACACCAGAAATCAATTCCACTATCACATCTCTAATCCTTATATCATGCACACTAGTTCCAGCCACCTCCAGAAAGTTCCACCCATGACCTGAGGCTTTGGGGAAGATCTAGAAACAAGCCATAACAATGTGCAAGTGCATAGCCATGGGTGTACACATGTCCTCTGAGACAGAGAGGAGCAGCAATACTCCAATATGAATGAGCACACCTAGTAGCCAGATATTAGGTTCTCAGAGTCATTTTCCATGGAAAAGAAGCAAAGATCCTTGGGAAAATGACTAATTCAAGGCTGAGACAAAGCAAAAAGTTTTCTGGAGAGAAATTTGCTGAAAATTAAAAGGTTAGAAAGAGATTTATCAAAAAGACCTAGAGCCAACCTTGAAGGAGTTGTCACTGATAAAATCTGGAACAGTTTAGTAATCAAAATAAATAATGATAACATCAAGAATCAAATACATAACTATTAGTCCATATCAATCTACAGACATGAATAAATTGGAAAGTAGTTGAGAAGAAGATATTTACAACAATATTTCACAAAATATAATAATATACATGGAATGATGAAAAATATAACTTCTAACAAGTTATGGGATGTGAATATCATTAGTAATGAGGCAAACAGATTTCACACACTCCCAAGTAAGTTTCATGTCTGAATCAATTAGTCAAAGAGCACATGTTAAATGGGAACACAAAACTGATCTGTTGCAACCAAGGAATGTGGCATCTCTTATGTAAAAGCCTGCCCAAATTGTATAATCTCAGCATAATCAAGAAAACTCAGACAAATTTGAGTTCAGGGACATGATGCAAAACAATTGCCCTGTAGTCTTCAAAAGTGTCAGATCTTCAATGTAGAAGATAAAGTAACCATCCCGGGGCAAAACAGACAATGGAGACATGACAATCAAATAGGAACCATCAGTCTGAGGAGGATTCTGATGCTGTAATTTAGGGACAACTGGTTGAAATTGGATGTTTTCTGAAGAATAGAGGAAAATGATTAATAAATGAAAAGGCTTATTTTAATTTATCCTTTAATTATTTTACTTTATATATTTAATTTGGAAAAATCATTTTGATATATAAGTGGTTATATATAATTTCCTACTTATAGGAAATTACACTAAAGTATCTGCAAGTCAGCAATTTGTAAATATTACACAATGAGAAGAAAGGTTTGTATTAATATTGCTTAGACAAGATATCATGTCTACATCTTGTCCTCTGAACAACTATTATGAAGACAATATTCCATGTATTAATTATTGTAACTGTCACAATAACCTGTTTTGAAACTGTTTCATTGCTATTTTACCTTTTTTCTCATTAAAATGAATAAAAGATTTAAAAAATAGAAAAAACAAATATTTCAGGAACAAAGATCTTTGTGCTATGTCTGCAATTATTTGAAAGTGTGAGATAATTTTTCAATAAGATATTTGTATTATTACGTAGATCAATTCAAAATCCTTGTTTCATATACTTTAAGTAAGTACATATATCATTCTATTCATAGATTTGACTAAATATAAACAATTGATGTAATGGTATGTTCAATAGTTTAATTCACTAAAATTTTTTAATCATTTTAAATTCATTTACCATCTCCATTATATTTGTTTTTCTAAGTGAATACCAGAGCTTATACATCAGATATTCTATTATGTCAGCTTCTTATAAATAAAACTTTCAAATATTTTAATTATTCATATTAAAATATTATCAATGCTTAGCTTATTTACAGTTTATTCCAATATTTAAATTAAAGATTTAAAAACACTAAATGACAAATTATATCAACAATGAATTTTAAATACTAAGAATAAATATTTGGTGGAGGTTTGAACTGGACTACAGGATGTATGAGTTAACTAGGACTGCCATACCTAAATAGTACTTGCTGGGAAATTTCCCATAGTTCTACAGGATTGAGTTCTATCAAAGTGTGGACAGACTTAGCTTCTCTTGAGAGCTCTCCTGCAGATGACCACAGTCAGGATATATCCTCACCAGATCTTTCATGTGTGCACATTCCAGCTATTTTGTCTCAAAAATTCTCTCTCTCGCTCTTTCTCTCTCTCCCTCCCTCCCTCCCTCCTTCCCACCTTCCTCCCTCCCTCTCTATATCCTTTCCTCCCCTCCCTCCCTTCTTTCCACCAACCTGTTTTTCCCAAAATTCCAGAGATGTATCATTGACCCAACTTCAATCATGAGGCAGTCTCCACTAAAATGTAAAATATAAAATAAGTTCTGCATAATTATATTTTTTACAATTACAAAAAATAAAGTAACCTTGTGGATGAGTGAAAATTTTCAGAGAAGTAGGCATTCTGTGATAAACAATATGTCCAGTTCACTGGAGCAGGGAGGCAGTATAGGAAAGAAGTGAAGGAGGGAGTCATATTTGCTCAAATGCTAGGTCACTGAAGCAGTAATTTATTCAGTTTTCACTCTTCTGACAAAAGAAGGAGTGGCAGCACGCTTATGAGGTTTTTAATTTTGTGTTTCTTGTTTTGCAACACAACTTACTAAGATAGCCAAGTGTATAAAAATTTGATACATGACTAGCCTCTCAAAATTACTGGACCTTCTGCAATAATATTTTTAACAGTAGACAGCTACTGTTATTTTAATTTCAAGGAAGTTAAAGGAAATATCTGGTCAGTCACTTATGGGGAATACAGATACTCTTCCCAGGGTACAATAATAAATAAGTCCTTCTCTCAATAAATTGACCAACTTGGAGGAAAAAGGAATGTATGGAATTTGTTTCTGTTGCTGTTGGCTACTGCTGCAACTAATGTGAGTGGATTCCACCCACCGTCTTCCCACATCACAGCTACCAAAAGTGCCATAGATTAAGCATGAATGAAGTTGAATTTCAATATATAAACCATGCTGTCATTACAACTTAACTTTTGACCTGAACAATTCCAGTTGTTATTAGAAGATTTTATAAATATACATCATATACAATGAGAATTTTCTTGCTTCCTTTCTTTTAATCATGTGTTATTTCTGTATCTTATCACATTAACCAAGACTTTTTAGAACCATTATTAAGTCATGAAGATTCTGGATTATTGGGAATACTACTTGGCAAGTATTTTCCAAAGTGTGCTCTGTGGAGTGTTAATCTTTTTAAACTTTAGGCCTCTTATCTCCAAAATTAGAATACAAAACTCAGAAGGTCAAAAAGATTGTAAAATTTCATAGTATGGTTTTATCTCAGAACTCCACACTGAAAAATTATTGACGCAGAGAAGTTGAGTTCTACAAATTTGTTTAAGTTGGGTTCTAAAACTGTGTAATGATCAATCTTTTACCATTTTTAAAACACATGTTCTTTTTTGATTATTCGACATTGTCAATTTTCAGACCTCAAAAAATCTCACATATTTAAGCATAAAAAAAATGTGCTAGAAATCGAACACTTCATATCAGAGACTTAGAAAGGAAATAATATACAGGGATACTGGAAGCTGATCTGTGGAATAACACTACCAACATTTTAAAAATGAGCTCTAGCTATACCAGCCTCTGTCCCTCAGCCTCA